GGGGGAGTTTGTAGATTACAGGCAGCAGCTCGACGTCTGCCATTGTCTTGACCCCGCTTCTTTTCAACAACGAGGCCCTATTAGTTGCGCCATACGAGTATAATAGGTACCGCAGCTTGTGTCGAACTAGGGTTTTACAATGAGTAATCGAAGGCACTCCAGAGGTCCCCGTGTAATCCTTCCTCATTGGCGTCGGACAATTACATCATCAACGTGGTGGAATATCTAATTTAGTGAAGGATACTCGGTCGCAGTGGCCATTCAAATGAGATATACCATTTTAGGTAGTTACGAACGCTCTTCTCGAGTATGTGTTCTGAATCTGCTCAACGAGTCTGGAAACAAAAGTAGGGATACCATTTACTTTCTGTGTTATACCTCTAAATCGAACACATGACTGAGCATAAACGTAACTATGCATAGGTGGTGCGGCTGGTAGGATCGTGGACCTGTGGGGCGTAACATAAAGGTTCGGATCTTTGGTTAGGTTGAAATACGTCTTGAACACGTGCAAAACGTTTTCTGGCTGAACATCGGTCATCTGCGGAGCTTCCTCACATTCTAGGACTCCGGGGCATGATGATCCATTAGGTAATTTTCTTTACCGAAATTGAGAGAATAGGTACGCCTTCCTATCCGAAACACTCAAGATGATGCTTCGAAGATCATCAGTGATTGCTTCCTGCACTCACTCTAGAGAGCGGTGAATGACTCGTCTGACCAGAGCGTTTTTTGGAAGGAACACGACCCTCACATTCGAAAAGTACTATTCGCACTTACTTAATATAATTCTTCTGCCATTCCAGGATTTTAGGTGAAACACTTTATTAAGTCGACGGCCCAGCGTTTCGATGTGATCGTCGCCTTCATAGGCCTAGAAAACGCAACTTGAGATGGTTTACGATATCCGATAGCGTTTGATCTCTCTAGCAAAAAAACGACGACAATTCAATGAAATACTACCCGTTTTATGAAATACTCATCAGGCTCCACCGTAAAAGCGGATATAATCCGCTGTCGCTACAGGCGACTGTCATCAGCAAATGGGGCTTCTCGATGTCTCCCTTATGCCTTTGATAAGGGAGATCATACTGCGATGCCACTGACCTCGAGTCATGGCTCGCAGAGCGGTATAACAAGAGGTCACTTGTTATGGATGCAGCGTCACTGAAAAGGGCTTTTCACCATAATGCAGCCTTCTGTGGATTCACAACGGTAACCTATATTTATATTAGAATTAGCTTTACAAGAATGAGATGTGACATGCTAGTGCAACATATTGACCTAAGGCATAACTTGATATGAGTATCTCTTGAGATGAGACCACAGGCATGGCTTGGCGGTATCATAAGTGTGCAGTCAAGTAGGCAACTTAAGTTCTGCCGTTGGTGCGGTCCGCTCTTTCATCCCCCGTGCTTGAGTACCACCACAGGCTCCGTAATGTCCAGTGGCGATACGGCATCTGAGGGCACTTATATACGTAGATAAACATTACAGATGTTACAGATGTGCTCGCAGATGGTCAACTAAGGACAGCACATGTGACAAGATAAGAACTAGAGGAATGTTACCGAATGATACAATAAGCGGACGATAGGAGATGGGAAATGGAGAAGTCGTGGTTGACCACGACACTCCGCCCGCGGGAAAGGCATGAATTAACTACACAATTAATCGTACAACCAAACAATAGAGAGCATGGAATATCAAGCATGTCTTCCAGTCGGCTTCGGCGCACTGCATAGGGCTCGATCAAAGGTGNCATTGAAACCACCAATCACCGCAACTCCACCGGCACTGCTAGCCATACCATTTCGCAGGGGAAGCGAATAAGGTGGCGTGCAGTAGGAATCGGTGACGCTCAGAATAAAAGTCGACGAAAGCGGCACTGGGGCAGAAATGAATATGTCGATCGAGGCGTGAAGGTCGAATGTCAGCGGAAGAATATCAGCCGGAGGAAGTGATGACGACTGGCGGGTGCAGTGGGTGAAATAGGGAGAATAGGGCGAATGGGTAGAATAACATCCATAGGCGGTCAGAAACTTTGTTGCTATTATGGTGCATCCGATCTCTGCTCGCATAGGAGGACGTTGTGTGCGCCACGGCAAGAAGAGCAAGCGACAGCAACTTTCACCGTGGAAACCAAGCATCTTACGCATAGATGCAGTTCAGTGGCTCGTATGGCTCTGAGGAGCGGTTCAGGATAATTGTGGCAGTCGATTGTATGGTGACGGTCGAAGTTTTCGTCAAGAGGGCAGAATGCACAGTTTGACGTTGGAGCGATGCGCTCTAGCAGCATGTGAACGTCGTCGTGAATATGTGACACCTTGGTACTGATCTCTTCTATACGCATAGAGAGACGTTGGACGGTTTGGGTAAGAGACTCCACTGACGTATGATGGTTTGGCTCCATTAGCTGAATGCTGCGGTCAATGCTGTCCGCCATACAGTCGCGACTGTGTCCTCCTTTATTTCTTTGTGCCCCCAAAAAGCTATGCCAGGTGGCGAGCTTCAGTATACCGAGCAACGTGCACTTCGTCCATGATCGAGGAGGATGACTCATTGGAGTGCCGACCATGAAGCTACAGCAGCTATAGACTAAGGCTAGTAAACACCGATTATCAGGTATTGACTAAAGATGGGCAGTCTAGGGACC